ACCGTCACCTACGTGATCGAGAAGTGACAAAGACAACCCGACCTCCGTCGTAGCGCGCTTCGTCTTGCCCGACCAAAACAGTGTTATCGGGGTCATCGTCCTGAAAGAAGGAAGGGGAGGAAGGCAAGGGAGGGAGGGAGGGAGGGAAGGTGGGAGGGAGGCGAGGGAGGGAGGAGGAAGACAGGTCAGATCCTGAAGAAGCGTCACGGCCCTGCACAGGGCATCCGACCCCTAAAAACCACCTTTCTTTTCCCAACCGCACGTCCCTCCCTTCCTACCGCGCTGTCGTAGTTGGGATCATGCTTGTCCAGGCAGCCAGGGGCCAAGAGGAGGCTCCCGTCGTCCGTTGCCGCCCAATGCCCTTTGTGGCCCCCGCCTTGTTTCTTCTCCTGACATGCGCGCAGGGAGAGGCAAAAGATGTGAGTGACTTCTTACTTCCGCGGGCGTGCCCTCGTCTTTACATGCCTCCATCAATACTCCTCCGCCAAAAAACGCGACTTCCGCCACGAGCCCCTCCCTCCCTCCCTCCCTCCCTCCCTCGACAAAACCTCCCTCGGCGCCTCACCCGGACTGGATCCTTGCCTTTCCGGGTTATATTACGTTTGGCTGATCCGTCCACTGATTCCACCCCCTCTGTCCCTGTGGCAGGTACCAGGGAAGACGCGCCCACAAAACATCAATACACACGGCACATCGCTCACTGACGCCCGTGTGACAGGGTCTCCCTACCTTTTCCCACGCCTTTGTGTGAGCCACCACTCCCGCTTCGAGCCCGGCTTCTGCCCTCGGCCACGACCTCGGCTTCGGCCTGTATTTCGGGGTCCGGGTCACGCTGCCACGTGCTCATGTCTAGCTCTCTGTTGCTGCTTTCTCTTCCTGCCTTTTTGGCGTGGAACCTACAAATGGCAAGGCGTCGGGTGTCTTACTGATTCAAGAGCATATAGGGCTGCTTTGTCCTGTGGCATGACGGACAAGTGGGGTATGTTGAGAGTGGTGTTTGGTCTGTTCAACACGCACACGTTCTGGATAGAGGGCACTTCAATGAACGGCCATATGATAATTCATGTGCGCCTTTTCCCACCTCAATCACACCAATTACTGTCACCAAGTCTCTCTACAGGCCTCTGTGGTCAAAATGTGATGTCTGCGCTCTGCCTCTTCACTGCCTTCGTTAGACACGAGCACGTGTGCCGGGGAACAAGGTATCCAGAACTCGCTCCCAATAACGCCATCCGGACTCAGCCACGGGACAAAACATCTTGTTGAGGCACTACAGCTTCGTGAAAACGCACCCACTGCCCAGTATGACCACCTTGTCGCACGCTGACCACCATAACCCCCCATCAGTCTTCGCCCTTTGTATACAATGTGGCATCAACGTCGAGTGTCTAAGGCTCTCCCTGTTGAACGTCGCCTTCCGGCGATCACAGGAAAAATCTGCGTCCGGGCAGGGAAGCTTAGAAAAAACCATAAAACAAAAAAACGCCCGAAGGTGCCATGGACCGTGGCATGTGCTAAATTAATGCTAGCGGGGTGGTCAAATATTTTTTTCCTCACCTTCCTAGCTAGATAGAGTTTGGTATGTTGTCATTTTCTCTTTGTGACTTCCAGTGAGAGCACGATCAACACCAGCATAATTAAATATAATAAAAATCTGATTTCAGGACTTCACATGTATTTGAATCCTTAGCGACTCCCATCAGTCTACAACGTATAGTTTCCAAGTATTGGCGTTTTGAGATCTATAAATTAGTACTTCCTCACGCGTCGACCTCTTTCCTTGTCCACTGGCCTTGTCCTGCTCCTTCTTTAATTTCCAGTCCAAATGATCCTAGAGATTCCACAGTTCCACTCGCCCTTTTGTATCCATCAGTCTCCTGTTGTGATTAGGTGGTAGAAACATCCGTGTATCAGCTTCTCTTCAAGCACATTCATTCAATAAGTCAATCACAGGGATCATCTCGCCCAATTAGCCAAAGTTACAAGAATACATGTATGAATTTAGTCCCCATTTCGCATCTCTCCATTCCTCTTTTTCTATGCATTTACCTAACACCCTCTTGCGGTGTACAGGATCCGTCCAAAATGCATTTGACATTATATATGATGGGGAAGGTACGCTCAGCCCTGTGAGCTCGTGGAAGCTTTTCAATCATCTCCACCAAGGAAAACGTAGTGGCGTATCCCTCCGCTACCTGTAAGCATAGAAGGGAGGAGAAACCGGGAAAAGGAAGAGAGAGTATTGGAAAGACCGCGGTGGGGGAAAAGCGACCAGAACGAATTGCCACGCTTTCCCAGGGCACCGGAGCCGGACTCGAACGCCCTAGTTTCTCTCCGACGCCTACACACTCCCCCAATCCGTCCCGATCTTCTCAAACGCATGG